TGACTGAGAATCTGCACAGACATGTAAAACACAACCACTTAACTTATTTATTGACTGATCTATTCCACAATTTTTTAAACAGTTTTCCTTGTATCTTCTTCAAGTTAATATTCCAGATTTTATTTGAAAAAAGTCTATATATCTATTTCAACACAAAAGCATGGAAGGACCTTTGCTTTCCTTTGACTCCTTCCTTTGAAGAGCTTAAACTGTATCAAGAGGGGGGCCTCATCTCTGATCTCTCTAACATGGGTCCAAATCTTCTTACACTGCAACATAATGTATCTTTCTTTGTCTCCTTCTCTCTTTCTCCTCATCTTAGAGATTTCTGTATTGAAATAATCCTCAGAGTTCCTCCCTTGTCCTTTTTCCTGTCTTCATCTTACAGCTTTCTCAGACACAGTATGATTAAGTATCTCCGCCCTATAACAAAATAGTCCTAACATTGCTCCTTTGTCTCTTATTCCCTCTTTATATAAGAATCTGGTTTTGTATTGATTTTACACAGCAGTTTATTTTCCCCTTTCTGTTGCTCTCTCTCCCTGTTGACTTTTGAGTTCAACATGCCCTTGTACCCATGACTAATTCTGTCTCCTGCAGTTTTCCTCCCTCCTCTCTGCAACATGTCCTCATTTCCATATCTTTCCAGTTAATCTCCTCTTCTCATTGTTCAGTGGTTTCTTTTGTCTTTTTAATTCATTTTGTCCAAGTTTTGACCATGTTTTTTTTCTTTTTGTTCTTCCCATTATGTTCTGATTTTAAAAATATTTTCCTTATCTGAAAAACATGCAAAGGGGAACTGTGTGGTCTAGAAGAAATTTTCATATTTAAATCTAAATGCTGGTCACAGTAGCAACTAAAAAACAAAATGCAACAGAATTAGTCCATTCCAATCTAATTGCCACAGTTAGTAAATTTTTTTGTTGAAGTAAATCCATGCAAATCTTCTCAAGTTCAACTTTGGTGAATTTGAACTGCTCCACAAAAGACTTGCTTTGCAGATGATATTAGAGAGAAGCTGTTGATACAACCTTGTTTTCTGTTAGAGACCAAGTTAACAAGCTAACTGACTGTTATCAAGTTTGTTAGCTTAACCTTTCCACATCTTTATAAAAATCTCAGTTTAATAAAATGATAGACAACCATGCAAACAAAATGCCAGGGGGGAGTAAACAGCACAGCAGAGACAAAACAGATGGGAAAGCTATAGGTACTGGCTAGGGTTAGCATGTGGTGTGTTAGCAGTTAGTTCACCTACCATCTAGAACAAATTATTTCGCCAAGACTCAAAGATTAATTTTATTTTTTAACCTGCACAAAAGGCCAGGAAGTGGAGGGAAGGAGTAGAAAAAAGGAGGAAGAATTGTTAATAGAACAAAAAATGGTGGAGGGAGCAGGGTGAAGGTGAGGGGAAATAAAGATTGAAAGAATAGTGGAGATAAAAAAAAATTGAAGGAAAAGTAGAAATTAACGCCCCCCCCCCAACTCTTCCCCTCCCTGTCCTATCATAATCTTCTGGTCTTTCTTTACTTGCTTTACATCTTTCCATCCATCCATCCATTTTCTAAACTGCTGAGTCCTGAATGGGGTCACGGGGGGGCTGGAGCCAATCCCAGCCGGCAAGCGGGCAAAAGGCAGGGTACACCCTGGACAGGTCGCCAGTCCATCGCAGGGCCAACACGCACTTTACATCTTTCCCCTTTCTCGAATTGTCAGGAATGCTGACCTCAGCTCACTTGTTTCTGTGCCAGCTCTCTCCTTCTCACTTAATCTAATCATCACACTGTTATTTCACTCCACCTCCTCCCTCACTGTTCCCTCCTCCTCCTCCTTCGCTCTACCCATCCTTCCTGCGGCTCTGCTGTGAACCCGCTGACAATGAACAGAATGAAAAACAAATGAACACAGAGTGCAGTGAGCAGGAAAACTGCTGAGTCATGCTTAGAAGAAAATAATTTCATCGTGATAAGGCCCAGGGGAATATTAGATTAGATTACTGCTTTGTCTTTTTCTCCAGTGGTGAAAGAAGAACCTTTGTTGATATCTGTGCAATTATCAAAAATGAAAAGTTGCTGAGTCATGGTGTGAGATTTAGATTAGTCGCTCGCCTGTTTCTCTGTCAAGAAGAGAAAGTTGCTGATAAGTGGAAAATTACAAATGACAATGAGGCGTGTGTGCTGAACGCTTATAAGAATTATTTCATTGTGATAAGTGTATGCGGAATAATAAATTAGATCAGAACACAACCCAGGGCTCCCTCCTTCAGACAAGCTGCTGGAGAAGAGAGCAGAAAAAGAGAGATCCTGGAAACACAGAGCCTAATATATTTATAAGTTTTGGGCTAACCCCTTACACAATTGAAGTCCGACCAGCAGACTCCATCTCTTATCTAGAGCTCCACAGGCTTGGAGCAGCTGCGTATTACCTAGTCATAACAAAATGAAGAATTCCATGTGTGTGTGTTGTTGTTACATGGTGTGTAACTAAAACAATCATTCAGACCTTGAAATTGAGCAGACTAGAGAAGACTTTGACTCTTACTAAACTGCATTAATAACACATTAAAGTCTAACAATTATCTGACTGATTTATTCATTTCTAACAAAACCCACTTTTTTTTTTAAACTTTTGTCAGTAACAGGAGAGGTCATTGGCATTTATAACCAAATAATGATGAACAGTTAATTGTGTATAGAGAGACAAATTAATACAATCTCAATCTAAGGGAAGACTCTGACACACCAAGCCGATATGAAAGAACTAGCAGCGGAGTAGGCCCACTGCTGTGTCGCCCCATGTCACCTTTCTCTGGACCAGTCAGGTCAGAAAAGTTGCACTTGAACACACTGCACAGACTACAGGCAATGGCCAACTGGCATGTACGTTCTGCATGTGTGTGAGAGACATAACTCCCCCTACCAGCAGGTGGAAGTATCTGTATTTGCCATTCAGAAGGAGAAAGAAGAAGAGCTAGACAGCAGATATACAAACTGTAAACAAAGCAGCTCTCGTTCTAAACAGCTGCTGTTTATAGCTGCTTCTAATTGAGAATATGTCTGATAAGAAGCTGCAAATGGCACTGTTGTTCTGTGTCCTTGGTCTTTTGGTAGTGAAAGAAGAAAGGAGGTTGTGGAGGTGAAAAACAAGAAGAAAACGCACTAAATGGGTGAAATCACGGAAGAAAGGAGGTTGTCGAGGCGAAAAACAAGAAGAAATGGGTGAAATCACAGACAATACAGCGACAGGCTAAAGGGGCTTTCCTGAATGTTTCTCTTCTCGTGCAATGATTTGCTAAGCTGAACAGCCAGTCAGCGTGGTCTCTCTTGCCCGACCAGCTCGATGCCGATTCAAGATGCCGAACTGGCCAAAAAGCTGTTGACAGGGTCTGACTACTGTGGGCCACTCTGGGAAGACAAGCCCCAATAGACACTCACCAAAAGCCCAGTGATGCCCAATGGCTGATCGCCAGCTTGGTGTGTCATGGGCCTAAGCTGTATGATAATTGACTGACTAAAGTGAGTTGTATATCACTGTAACTGAGACTTCTGTCCTGAATGCCATCACACATTCATCTGTTTAAGTGGCTTAAGTTGTCTTCACCACACAGCCTGGAAATGTAGAGATTTAAATACCTTTTCCTCCCTTTCTGGATCTGTAATTAACAACTGGTTTACTATTCCCAGTCTTTTTCGTGCGTCTTGTGTTTCTGTAATGTAAAAAGCAAGTAAAGTAAAAAGTAATACCTAATAAAGAACTTGAAAACTACCAAACCATTATCTTACGGAGCTATCCAAAGCCACTTATATGGTAGGAAAAGTTGTTCATTTTACAACCAGGTGTTAGCCAAACAGGTACCTGCAAATGTTAACCACATGTGTTTCTTGCGAGTGGGGTGGTAGCATATATTTCACCTTCCCCCTCTTCATAAAATATTACACCCACACCCTCTTCTCTTTGCTTTCACACTTTTTTTTTTTTTTTTTACCACCGCTCTCTCTCATGGTCTTTGTCTGTCTCTCCACCAAACTGCGAAGAAAACAACAGAGTCAAAGTGAAGAGGAAGGAGACTGTGAGAAAGACAGGAGGAGAGGAGAGTGAAGAGAGATAAGATCTACAACCTCCTGCCAAACCGGCATCAGGGGGTCAAAGCCCAACATGCAGGAAACATTTACAGATGTTCTTTAGCGTACACACATAACTGTGTTTTTATGTATGTAGTTTAAGTATTGCAAATACAGACCCTTCGCTCTCCTTCATCCATCCATTTATCAGTCTCTTCTGGCTAAATATGGTTAGCTTTGCCATGTTATTAGTGCACAGTATACAGACTACTTTAACCCAATACTATACACAAATACACATATTTTATATAGACTGATGGTACTTTAAGTTTTCCCTCTAAGCACATAATCAGCTAAAACATACTGATCAACAAGTAAAAGTCTGTCAAAAACCACTCCAGTGAAACTTTAAAAATGGCGGCATGGATTATCCATTGCACAGATACAAGTGAAGTGCATTCACAATACTGCTGAGCCAAAGATAAACCTAAATTTAGCTTCCTAGCCTGTACTTTACTGATGTGAAAATTCTGCTTTCTGTTTACCCCTGCCATATTTGTCCTTAAGGCAACAAGAGTTTAACACTAACCACAGCACACCTTTCGCTCTGTCTATCTGTCAGGCAGGTTATTGGTTGCAAAGTGTGTGTATATGTCATTAAGAAGATGCAAGCTAAAATACTACAGTAGCTTCAGCTCACTGGATGGTTATACTGCAAACATATACACACGCATGAGAATAATGAGGAAGTTTTGGCTGTGATCCATCACCGAGGGACCGAAGATTATGACACAACAGAGAGGAGATAGACAACGAGAGACAGAGACCAAGAGGGACGCAAAACCGCTCACACCCTTGCGCGCAAACACACACATACTCATACACATACACATGTAGCAGCAGAGAGTAGAGTCTGTGTTGTCAGTAGCCACCTTCTAGACCCTAAGGTGTCACAAATGACTTCAAAACAGAGAGAGAGAGATGACAGGGTGAGGGAGGAAGAGAGAGGAGAGTGATGCATGTTATAATGACTTACTTTGACATGGCCACTCTCTCACACCTCCTTGCTTCTCTGTTCACTGATTTTTCCCTCTCTTACATGTCACACATTTTCCTGTTCCCCTTTGAGCTTATACCATCCATTAAGTTAATTATATTAAATAACTGGAATTTTTTTGCAACAAAAGCGTTGTTACATCTATTCTACTTGAGCAGTTCTGAGGATAAAAACTCCACCATTATTACTGAACAGCAGTTAAATTTTACGGTTTCGATCAAAGGAAATAAAAGTGAATATAAAGCTCACCAACCTCTGCTTGCTTTAGATTTTTGTGTGTCATTATCGTGTTAGCGTGGTTGGTGTGCAGTCTGATGTGTGTATTGGTATCAAGTATATAGAAATAAAAATGCACGACTTAGGGGTTTAACACTGTCCCTTAAGCTAAGGTCAAATATCCTGCAAGTACTAAAAGTTACCATGGTAAGAGTACATGTGTTAAAAATTTAAAAGGCTTGTGCACATGTCATACAGTATGTGTAAGACCCTTTGATAGAAGCTGTTAAGAATGGTAAAGAGAAAGGTATGATAGAAGCTGTTAAGAATGGTAAAGAAAACAAAGTAGAGAAAGGTGAAAGGGCATGAAGAACAGTTCTACACTGTATTTTAGGTGAGGCACTAAGGCTCTGACAAATACTAATGGTTCTTTAGAAAAACGTGATGAGTATAGCAAGTAAAAAGAAAAAAGCCTATGTGAGGTGGGGACAAAAATGTAGAAAACAGACAGAAGTACAGAGAACAGTGAAGAAGAAATGCACTAAACTCCCAGTGGGCTCATCCACTAAGGGGATGGTTAGTTCACTAGACCCACAAGAACCTTCACTGTGTGTGCCTCTGTGAGCGCGTGTGTCAATAGACCTCTGTGTGGAACCACAGAGGTGTTTGGTTTATATCCTTGTTTTTGGCCTGGGTGAGTGTGTACATACTGGCGTGTGGGTATATGGACTTGTGTGTCTGAACTCTGTAAACTTCTGTCCATAGCAGTGTAATGGCGTGTAAGGTTGTGTGTGTATCTGCAGACAAAAAATTTGAATAAATACAAATTTATATGAAAGTGTCACCAGAGATTTGTAGAAGATTTGAACTCTGTGTGTGAGTGTTTGTGTGTGTGTGCGGTGACTATAGAAGTTGTGGGTTAATCCTAAATTTACCTTTGGTGGTCGGAGGACTGTGGTCACATCTGGACTCAGTTTCTCTCTGCCTCTCTTGTTTTCTTTGCTCCCCTTGTCGCCACCACCTCACCTGTGCTCTCTCACTCTCTTTCTCTGCTTTTTGAAAAACTAATTTATTTTTCTTCTCTGTCTCTAATCCTCATATTTAAATGTGACCAAAATGCTTTGGTGTGTGTGTGTGTGTGTGTGTGTGTGTGTTGGTGTCTACACAGCAACCTTC